CTCCTCCTCGTCAGCCTACCCTTTTCCTCCTACTTTTCCCTAATGTGGACACAACACACACACACACACACACACACACACACACACACACACACACTTTATATAACAGGTTGATAAGATTGATCTTTTCCTTGAATTGCTTTGATTCAAAATCTGCCCACCTTTCGTGGGTGGTACGGAGTGGTAGACGCGATGCGTGCTTTAAAAAAGCGGCTGTAAAAGGAAGGGCATCACAAAGACATCTGGGATCTGGTCTGCATCTTTTCCATGTAGTTTACATTTTCCTATAGGAAAATGGAGAGTGCTATGAAATTCAACATACATTCTCCTATTTCAAACATGAACTCTTAGATTTTGGGAAGACAACTGCCAGAGTAATTCTTGCTTAATTGAACTGTTAGCAGACCCACCTCGAAACTCCTTTGTGGGGCCTCTGCTGATGTTCACCTTAATATCTTAGTGTCTTACTCTACCTCCATGATGCCATAGACTGACCCCTTTTATGGCTACAAGATTTTCCCTTCCCACTTCTCTGAACAAACTTTCTGTGGGGAGTAATTTATAAAAGACAACATCTTGTATGCTTCCATTTATATAATATTCTTGAAAGAATGAAATATACAAATGAATCATGGATTGGTAGTTACCAAGCATTAGTAACTGGAGAGGAAGGGATAGCCTGGCTTTAAAGGAATAGCACTAGGAGGCTTATGATTGTGCAAAACTTCTGATTCTTCATCTTCGTGCTGGTTATGCAAATCTATACATGTGGTAAAACAGCATAGATGTATATAAACACATCCAAATCAACAGGTATAGCTGATGAGATCTGAATAAATTCTTCAGATCTTACCAATATTGGGTTTCTTTTTAAATATTTTATTTATTATTTTTATTTTATGTGTATGAGTGTTACATCTGCATGTAGGTAAGTGCACCCATGTCGTGCAATGCCCATGGAGGACAGAAGAGGCTGTCGGATCAACTGGAACTGGAGTTACAGACGGTTGTTAGCTGCCATGTGGGTGCTGGGATTTGAACTTGGGTCTTCTGCAAGAATAGTGTTCTTAACCCCTGAGCCATCTCTCCAGCCCCCCAATATTGGGTTTCTAATTTTGATACTGTGGTAGCATTATGTTGCCAATGGAAAAACTCAAAGGAACATGGAAAATACCTGTACATTAAAAAATTCCTGTGAATTGATACTTATTTTAAAAATATTTAATGGTAAATTATAAGTAGCTTAAAAACAAGAAAATGTAAAGTTTTCGTGGAATTTTAAGATTATTTCTCAGATAATGTTCTTTTGGTAAAGAAAACTCTTGAATTTTGCAAAGCATATACCTAACTCTACACACATATAAATAAACAAGCAAACTACAAAGCAAGTTTTATGTACCAACACAGTACAAGGTTGTATAGTCATGAATGTGTGTGTTCCAAATAAAAATTTCCTAAATGAAATTGGGCTTATCAATATTTAAATTATTCTAGAACTAAAATAATAATTTCAGAACAAGAGGAGGGAATCTCATCAGTACAATTATTCTATGTAATGATAAAAAGCTCTGAAACCATGTCAAACATTAGCAGCTGGACCATTCTAAAAAGCTCTCTTTAAACAAGACAGAAATCCAATCAAACAAATAGCCAAAAACCAACAAACGAATCTGAGTTAACTACTGTTCTGAGCGATTAGCAGTATGCAGGATGAAAGGTTCATGTCTATACCTGCCACCTGGAGATCTATCATGTATGCTTGTAGAATTGACACCAAACTAAAAGAATGATGAACACCAATGAAAAACACAGGCAAAGATAAAACAAAATAACTTCCATGCATTAATGAAACAGGACTGTAAAAATGCCAAGACATAGACTAGTCTTACATACAGATTGTTCCTAGAATAAATATTGGGAAGAATCTCGTTTTTTGAGCTAACAGTAACATTTGAATGACAGCATGTTCTAGTGAACTTTTTTCCTATAGTAAGCCTCAGAATAATAGCCAATTTCATAGAAGATTCTTATACAGTTGAGAATAAAGTAGTGGCATCGAACATCATCTTTGTAAAATTGAGACGATTTACACAAGTATATATTAACTGCTTCTAAGTTCCCAATTTCATGAGTTCTGAACTAATGATGTATAATAATAAGCTTAAGAATTGAGACTTAAAAACCAAACGATATTATATAAGCAGAGGGAATTCTAGTTATTTATTAAAGTTATAAGTAGATCCTCAACTGCCAGTTAGCACCTGAACCTTAATATAGGTTTGAACCTGAAAGGAGTACTTGAGATTGCACCATGAGCAGATGATGTGGGAAGTTACTCAGGTCCCTAAATAGAATCACTAGTTGCAGAAGCAAAGCAGAGTTGATAAGCTCAAAATTAACTAACTACATTGACCCAGGCCTGAATATCACCCCAGCAGGTAGACCTTACAAGTAGGTATCACAATAGAGAATTCTAATATCTATTCATCTGTTTCATTATTTATGGACTCTTTCTCCAGCTTGAACCTACTCCCCAAGTCTTGCTTGACTTCTGCATGGTAAGTACCCAGTGCTGGAGTGTCCTGTGTAGAGTTGGTAGGTGCACAATAAATATTTGTTGACTAAATCAATGCCTTTCATGTCTCAAAATTCCTTTTTGACAATTTTTGATTGGTAGACACTTCAAAATATGGAAGAAGCTGTGAAAATGCTTCTCAGATTTTTTGTCCTAAGGAGTTGATGGCATTCTTAAAAGCTCTACTATGGCACCAGCTTCAAGAACCAGAATATTATTATGACCACAATTAGCCACTAATTTACTATTCTGGTTCTTCCAGTCAGTCTCCAGATTGTTCACCCAAGTCAATCACCTTCCTTAATCCATGAGATTATTTACTCTTAACAACAGGTCCATATATTCATATTATATTCTAGGTACAAGGAGTAACAGAAGACAATTCAGGAAATCAAACATGGCCACTATTTTAGGAACTACCTGAGCATCTCCATACTCTTCCCAACCCTATGAAAGCTTGGCATGCATATGGCATCATCTCATAACCTTTTTCATAAAGGTCACTCTGAGAAGAATTTGAAAGAGAGGGGAAAGTCACATTTACACCCACACAAATCACCTGACTGGCATACCTGAAGTGGTTCACAATGAGAAGCGATTGACTGCAACAGAGGCATTTTATTCAGTCACCAAAAACAGTGCGTGACTCAAGTATGCCAAAGACCCCAGATGACCGACATTGTCAGTGAAGAGCTGTGCTTAGTTCGAAGTGATGAAAGACATTCAAGTGAGTGTTGCCACATTGAGACATTATGGGAAACAAGGCAATCCAATCTGAGCCGAGCTGTGCTGACAGGAAAACCTTAATGGATAGCTCCTGACTTCCAAAGCCCCCAAGACAATCACCCATGAAACAACTAGTAAACTGCTGCTACAAGCAGTAGGATGTTACTTTTTAGTTCTGCTCTGCAGAAAGACCATTTAATATGCTGTAAAATGCCGTAGGCCACAATTCAAACCAGCTTCTGTGAGCCACCTCATCCTGAAGTGCTCCATTCCTGGGCCCTGTTCTGGAGACAGCAGCTCACCTCCAACACAGCAACTGAGCTTCAGGCAGTGCAGCACCTGCTGTCTACACAGCAGAGGCTGGGTGTGTGTCACAGCAGCAGCTGCAGAAAATGCCAGAGCATGAGGGACTGCAGTCTTACTCAGGGAAGTTACTGTGGGGGTCCCCTGTCCATCAGAGGAGCATGGGAAAGCAGAGGTGCTCCACTGTTGACACTTCACTGGAGTGGGTTACAGCCAGGTGTTTGTAAGGGTGGCCGGTACCCTCCCTGCAGTTGAAGCACAGAGCTTTAGCTATGATGCCTTCCTCCTACCCGCACTCAAGGATGTTCTTTCTCAGTGACTCAAAACCATCAGAAGAACGAGGCTTGCTGTTGCAACGTGATGCATTTCTGTAACTCTGCAGAGAAACTTTCCTCAAGAGCAACTTTTAGAGAGAAGTTTAAATATTTACCTCAGGAACCCAACATGGGAAACACAGTCTTAAATACCCATGCCTTTAACTGTACTCAGTTAATCCTATCCTAAAACCTGGTTTCTAACCAAGATGAGAAAGAGATACATGTAAATAATTAACAAAGTCATGTCTGCAAATGAGAGAAACCAGACTTTGGAGGAAGTGGCAGGAACTCCTCTGCATTTTCATCCACTGAGAAACTGGAAGCAGAGCAGCAACACAGAAGAGTCTAGAAAGGCAATGGCATGAGGTGGCAGGTACATAACTGAATAGTGGATTTTTTTTAACTACAGGAAGATGTTGTCTATGGAAATGATGACTTCCTATATGATAATACAGGACACAAGAATAAGCCATTTATGAGGGACAAATAACATTGAAAACTGACTCCATGTTTCACAATATCTACAACACTTTATTCCAAGCAGTAATTTGTATTTAAAATTTAGCAGTGCTCAATCTAATTTACTGTTACAGGTGTGTGGTTTATTTGTTTTGTTTTGTTTTTAAACACAAGCATCCTTACAAGCTTTGAAGTCTTACTATCTTAGGCTTTCCAAGGATGAGTGTAGTAACAGACAGGAAGCTGCTTCTGATAGGACAATCGCAAAAATTACAGTCTGTGCGTGAGACAGGACAAACACATCTGCTCCTGGCAAACTGTCCTGATGGAAGAGACAGTTTCCAGCAGTTGGGGATTTTTCTGCAGGCTGAAATTTGTACAGGTCCCAGGGCGTTCATAACACTTAGAATATACAAAATGGGCCACATTTTAAAATCGCACACACGGATACACACCAGCTTGAGGCTTTTCACCCCCTCCTGAAGGGCTATTTTAGAAGTAAACACCTGAGAACTCTAAATTAAGCAAGCCACCGATGAGTAAGTCACTGCCAAACCGAACAGCCTCCGGTGCACCTGTGAAGAGCACGGAAACCCGAGCGGGGGAATCTCGCACCATACCTGTATTTCATGCCCGTCTGCTTGGCGGTGGACTCCTTGAGGGAAATGTGATGCTGGGGGATGAAGGTCCCCAGGCTGCGAGCGATGATAGCGACCGTGCGGAATTTGGCCCGGGCTGCGTTCACCACATTGGGGGCGGTGGAGCTCTGCTTGCTCAGAAGTCGGTCCTCGCCATTCCGACTCTTCAAATTGTGCTCTGTGCAGGCTATGGAGACTTGCATTGCTTCCCCGGGCAGCGCACGGCCCCTCTCAGAACCCCACGGCACAGGCGGTCAGCAGAGGTCAGGCAGCTGGGGGTTCTGCTGTCTTTTAACCCCTCCTTGCTTCCCCTTTCTGGGGATGCTTCAGAGGGGTCCTGGCGGCTGACTTCAGAGTGGGCAAAGTGGCATAGAGGCTGCGGAGTCCCGGAGACCCACAGAAGTAAACAGCCAAGCCCGAAGTTGTCAGAAGCAGCTGGAGCGCAGATCAGCCCTGCTGTGATCTCCGCTGATTAAACAGCCAGATCCATGTGGTCAGGAGGCTGGTGCAGAAGCCTAGAGCTGAGCGTTCATGGTGGCTGCACACAGCCCTGCCGGGAGCCAGTCCGCGGTGCCTGAATGCGGCGGGCTGGCTTCTGGGCGCTGGCTCAAACCAGCGCAGGCATACCGCAAGATGCGCCTCCAGCACCCTCTGGACCACAGGCAGGAGGCTCAACTGGCGCGGAGCATCCCAAGACGCAGCTAGCTGCAGGCGGGTCCCCCAGGACGGATGGTCTGCACCCACTCCACCTGTCAGCTCCCTCTCTCCCGGCTTCTCAGGATGCCGAGGTGTCTCGAGACCCCTCCCCACTCATCCTTAGGCGAAAGCTGGGGCTGCTGAGCCGGCACTGACTGGGGTTTGCAGTTGCGTGCAGAAGCTGGCAGGTCCCTTTAAGGCGCTCCTTGCCTTTGTGTGCAGTGGGAAGACAGGGCTCACTTTCACCACTTGCTGGAACAGAACCGAGAGGGCTGCTCCATGCAGGGCTCTGTCTAGATGCCACCGAATCTTGCTGCAGCACAACAGTTGGAACTGGGGGAAGGCTGAGTGGGGGTGCTTCTCAGTGCAACGTGCCACTGATTAGCACGTGAATACTCTTGACTGGCTTGTAGAACACAGCTTGGAATCCCTGTTATTAGTCTTGTCAAGGTTCATTTCCCCTCTGCACGTTATTTCTTAAGCAGATAAGCTTAGAGTTTCCTGAAAAGTCAATGTAGACTGGATTCAAGTCTGCTAACTTAGTGCAACTCTATTTTGAATAGCAGAGTAGTGGCTTCTGGGGTGCTGCAGGGAGGACTGAGTCCTTAACATCCAGGAAGGGGCTTTACTGGGGGAACAGCAGGTGAGCATCACCACCCAGAAAGTCCAAGAAGGTGGCAGGAATCACATGCATCACATGGATGGCTGAAAGCAGTCCTATGGGCCGGAGCCAGGACCCCCACAAGACAGGAATATTGTCTGGCTATGTGTCCTAGAACAACTGCCCCATAAATGTGCTTGGACCAAAGTAAACACAAGCTGGCTAATAATTTACCTCTCCATTTGAAATATGTGAGAAATAAACCCTGTGGGTTTACATAAACAAAATGATGGCTTCTTAAAAATCATCTTTCTAAATGTGATTCCTGAAAGAACTCCCTGTCAGCAAGAAAAAGAGCAAACAATATTTGTGAATACCATCTCTGTACTTGGCAATAGAGATCAATATGGAGGAAAAAACCTACAAAACCCTGTCTCCTTTATGAGGAACAGGCAATCTGGACGGGAAGCACAAAGCATTAAGTCCTCAGGGGTGTATCATATTGGAAAGCACATTTCACATGTTCACAGGAGTGATAAGCACACTGAGTATACTAGAAAAGCAAGGGGAGATTGCAGGAGCCTGGAGAACGTGCTTCATTTAAGTCCATTCCTCCACATTTCTGTAGAGTCTCTATTAGTGCCTGACTCTTACTGGGACACAGAGTTACAGTCAGGCTGGAGTCTCAGAAAGCACACCGAGACTCAGACAGCTCTCCTATAAAGCATGAGGCTTCCCTGTGAAGGGAATGATGGGTGTGATTTGATTAACCAGAGCAGAGAGAGGCCATTGTCCTGGGCTTGTCAGGTTTGTGGAGGACATACACTCTGGGTTTATTAAGAAGATAAAAATAAAACAGGTAGTCTGACCACTCCTTTTCTAATCAAACAAAGTTGTAGGGATGGAATTTTCAGGTAGATTATACACTTGAGCTAAAATGTATTTCAGATGTGCATTTTCACATTTTTAAATCTGAAGATAAGATTTAAAACACATTATGGAATTATCCTCACATCCTTCTCATTCTTTCCTTTAAAAAATTAAACACGTTGATTAATGTTTAATGAATGGGAAGGAACTGTAGGATGAATGAAGGTAGGATGGCAGAAAGGGGAAACAGAGACCTCTCCTTTGTACTTTGGATCCCAAGCAGGAATACTGTGAGAATATCTGTATTCTTCGGAATAAACACAGTGGGCAGGGAGGAAGCAGATCATGGGAATCTTTATTTTTGCATGCCAAGCCGGTTCATTGGAGATGATCAATGTGAATTGGGAAAGCAGTCAAAATGAGAAAAGGAAGAGGTGGGAGGAATTAGAAGAACAGCTCTTAGAAAAGGAAAAGAAAGCCAGAGCAGCCTGGGAGGCAAGAGAGTGAGGGGAAGCCCTGAAGCCTGAGGTGAGGAGCCTGGGCTTCAGCTTGGGCGCTGGCTGCAGGGGAGGAAGTCTGGGGGTGGCTAAGGGCTCAGCTGGGAGTGATGCCAATTCTATAGGAAGGAAAGAAAGCCTTGACATGTTAACCACTGTGGCATTCAGTTTTCCCAAGAACTAGCAAAGCAATACCAGAAAGCACAATTTATATCAGAGCAGGGAATTGGCTGTCAGAATACACACAAAGGCAGAGCACTGCTCTCTGAGTCTTTTATCTATCACAGGACCACACAGAATACCTAGCACATAGCAGCTCCCTACTCTATAAATATTTGAGGGCCGATAAGAAAACAAAGACAGGGAGAGGGAGAGAAGAAGGTGGGTGGATGGGGAGATGCCATTTCTTGGATAAATTTGATTCCTTAAAAACAAAAGCCAAAGGAAATTCTATGCATCCTCATTTAAGCACAGCCTATGCACTTAAAAGGAGTTGAATGATTGTCCCACATTCTCTTCTGTACCACTTGTGTGTAGTCCAGTGGCCAAGCCTTTGGGACATGCCTCAAAGAGAATCAAAGACTGAGACCAGAGGATGCTAACAGTACAAGTCTCTTTCTTGTTGCCCACAGTGAGCCGTTAAGCTGATACCTTTTTCTAGTTTGTTTCTCCATTACTGTGACAAAATACTCTGACCAATACCAACTTGGGGAGGAAAGGTTTATTTGGCTTACATCTCCTGGGTCACAATTCTTCAGGGAGCCCAAGGTAGGAACTCAGAGCAGGAACCTGGAGGCACGAGCTGAAGCACAGGCCATGGAGGAATGCTGTGTTTGGAAGAGTACTCACTTGAGAATTTTAGGCTTAAATAAGCACACAAATTTGCACACACACACGTATGCAAGTGTACATACAGGTATAGATATAGTTATGAACTGTATTGTGTTAGCCCAGATTTAATGTATTGAAGCCCAGGCCTCCACACACACAGTCCATCAGAATTTGCTCTAATTGTAGATGGAGTCTTTAAAGACACAACAGAAATATATGAGGCCGGAAGGGTGAGCTCTAATCCAACATGTGCATGTCCTTATAAGAGGATCCAGATATGTGAAGACAGAGAGAAGACGGGTCATCCACAAACTGAGGAGAAAGTCCTCAGAAGAGCCAAGGTTGATATCACTTCAACCTCAGACTTCCAACCTCCAGAACTATGAGAAAACAAATTTCTGTTGTGGCAGGCCCAATTCACGCAGACAGAGATTATAATTTTCTTTTCATTTTTATATCATTATTCATAAGAAACTATTGGAGTTTATAAAGTATAAGCTTCTAAAAAGTCACCACCATAGCATGATGAATTTCATTATCACACTATTGCATATACCCTAAGCTTCCTTTATAAATGTGCTATAGGAGGATGGTGAGTTCCAGGCCACACAACAAGACTGAGTCCGGAAAAGCAAATAACCCTGTTCTCTAAGAAGGTTGCCCAATTGTGCCCTGAAGAAAGTCTCCAGTGAAATTCATTTATTCCTCTCCAGAGTCATATATGCCTATATACAGTCACACACACAGTCATATGGTGACTATTTTTGCATTTTTACTAGCATCCACTGCTTTAACAAAATGAGTTTTACTGGGGTATTTACATAAATATATGACATAATTGATACTATTCACCCCCAATTTCCCTCTTATCCCCTCTCCCCTATTCTCCATTCTTTCCATGTTATGTGGTGTGTGTTGGTAGGAGAAATGATGCTTTCAAGAAGTCATTTCTTTTGTGTTTAGTGATCTCCCTATTCTGCCAATTTTCCTATTAAGGACTTTCTTCATACTCCCTGGATCTAGGAATCAGCACTTTCAGAGATGTCACCAAGCAGTGGAGAAGCACCACACCAACAAAGGCAGGGACCAAGCACAGTGCTGATATTTCACCTGTTTAAAAATATTTTTTATTGAGATTTTGTAATTTCATACAACAGTTCTTAATCAAATTTAGACCCCCTCTCCCATCCATGCCACGCTGGACCTCATGTATTCTACCATACATGTCAAGTTCTATTCATTTAGGCATTTGTATCCAAATGTCTTTCAGTGTAAATTTGTCCACTGGAGTCTAGATAGTATATAAGTCATACTCTCCCTCACCCAGCAGCAATCAGTCTCCAATTGTTCTCAGTCTAGTGCTGGCCTGCCACCTATTTCTCTCCTCCCCTTTGGGCTCTTGTCTAATTGAGTTGACATGGGCCCTGTGCTCGATGCCACTATTGCCATAAGTTCACATGTGCAAGCTTCCAGTGGCCTGGAAGCCTCTGCTTCCCTGTGTTCATGAACCAACCAGGCTCTTACAATCTTTCTGCCCCCTCTTCCACAATGGTCCTTTAGCCATTGGTGGATGAGGTTCCATATAGGAACCCTATCCCACACTCTACAGTCTCTGATTCTTTAAAAATTGGCCAGTTGTGGCCTTCTGTGCACATCGCACTCTGTTGTATAAGGAAGATTTACTGGTGAGAGTTGATGGATGCATTAGTTTTCTCTCTACCCCTTGTTCTGCTGTGTTCCATAATCCTTAGTTGTAGGGGTTCAACTGTAGATGAACCTAGTACTGGGCATCTCTCAGATGTATGTTCTCTGTGTCTGAAGAGATGTGCAATTCTGCAGTATCCCCATCTATTGCAAAAAGAAGCTTCTGTGATGAGTGTTGTATGGTAGGCTGGTCTGTAAATATAAAGATCAATATTTAGCATATTATAAGAAATTTCATTTGTCTAGAAATATGAAAGAGATGGGGTTTTCTCTAGGATCTATGCCCTTTCCTGTCGTGTGTATTTGGCTGAGTTTACAGTGCCACCATGATTTACCTCCCATTGAGAGGGCTTTAAGCCCAATTAGATAGCTGTTGATTGCTCCCACCCACCCCCAGATAACAGTGCCACTCCTGCACCAATAGAGGTAGTTTTCCATGTTGGTTGTTATGGTTATTAGGCTTTAGGGCTGGGTTGGACCATTGATTGTTTTCCTCCCTTGGACATGGAGGTAAAGGAAAAGAAAGAACCTAAAAAGGGGGATAGTAGGGAACAGATGTTACTGGGGGGGGGGCAGGGGGAGTAGGCAAAGTAGGAGTATTCAGCAAGGAGAAGAAGAGGGAGGGACATGCAAGGGGCCATGGTGTATGGGGAGGAGGGAAGTGAGGAGAGGGAGGATGGTGGGAGGCTGGTGGTATTGGGGGGATGGGGGGATAATGGGGGCACTGTGACTAGGGAGGGAGGCTGGATGGGAAAAAAGAATAGAGGTGAATGAAACTTGAGGGGCTAGGAAACCTAGAGGGAAAAGAGATGCCCTCAAAACCCCATGAGAAATGCACATACAGTGTCTGAACATTAGTGCATATGTATATCTGGAGG